GACCTGAAATGCCAGCATCATACACAAAATCATCAACAAGGAGGATCAATACATCCAAGATCTGGATATTGTTGAATCCGACTTCATCAAACCTCTTCGACTGACCAACCCACCAATCATATCACCTCCAGAAAAATTGGAAGAGTTCATCGATGATGTCTTCGGAAATATCCTCGATTTACGGGAGTGCAATCGGCGGCTTCTGGAGGTGATGTACGTTCGACAACGTGAGCAGCAATACGTGATCCAGCGGATTGGAGACGTATTCCTCACTGCCGCCACCGAGTTCAGACTGGCTTATCCCATCTACATCGGACATTACCCCTTGTCAGAAAAGAGGCTAAAAGACGAGGTCGAAAATAACCCGGAATTCCGGCGGTTCCTCGAGGTACGAGCGAAATGTGGCTGTCATTTATGTTAGCTAATTGTATGTTGTAGCAATGTTCAAGGCAGACAACAAGACAAGGCGGCGACAACCTGCGCCTTGACCTAAAACACTTCCTCAATCGGCCATCGGAGCACCTTCAAAAATATCCAGTCTTTTTGGAGGCCATCTACCATGAGACAGCTGTCGGGAATCCTGATGCGGATTACCTCATGGAAGCGATTGAGGCTATCAAGAGCTTGCAAACCGTGGCACAACTGAGGACGTTCCAATCCGCCATGGGAAAGGGCACACCTGGAAAATGGGAGTGGCATGATCTCGTCTCGACGGAGGTGCGGAAAAGTCTACCAAAGGAGGAGGCGAAGCGTCAATCGTATGTCCTGACATTTTCGTCGGTCCACTCCTCTTAATTCCGTTTTAGGATTATCTTTGAGCTCATCAAGGGTGAGATGGCGTACGTCAAGGATCTGGAGAACATTGACATTGTAAATTTCAATAGCTCCATCTCTTCCCTGGTCCTGAGTCTATTTTCATAGATGTACATCAAAGCACTGCGTGCCGCGAACCCGCCGATAATTGCTCCGGAAAGATTGGATGGTTTCATCAAGGATGTGTTTCACAACTTTGCTGAACTGGGATACCATCATCGAAAGTTGGTGGAGAAGTTCCACGAGATTCAGCGCGAGCAGCATCCTGTGATTCGGACTGTCACTGCGGCTATGTTCGACGCTGCTCTGAACTTTAGGGACGCGTACATGGAATACATCCCCAATTACCCTATAGCCGCGTACAGGATCGACGACGAAATGGCCAATAATCTCGCCTTTAAGACTTTCGTGGAGGTAATCGTTATCATTCATTCAATATGTCCTGCTTTTAACATGGCTATTATATTAGCAATGCGTCCGCCATCCGGATGCCCATCGTCTCGACATGAAGAACTTCATTAATCGACCTATTCCCCGTTTGCTTCGGTATGAGCTTCTACTGAAGGGCATCCTGGACGAGACGCCGCCCGGGCACGATGACCGAAAGGAGATACCTCAGGTCCTTGAGGTCATCAAATCTATCGGCAAAGACACCGAACCTGGTGTTGTATCCGCGAAGCAGAAAGTAGAGTTGTGGCGCTACAATTCCAATCTGGTCTTTAAGCACGGGGAATCAATCGTACGTCAATTCATGCGATTTCCAATTGTTCATCGTGGTAACCGGTAATCTAGGACATGGATCTTCTTGATGAGAACCGTTCGCTGATACACTCGGGGAAATTATTACGGCAGCCTGATAGCGGCTTGGAGTGGAATGGATGGAGTGAATTGTTTGTTCTCCTTTTCGATAATTATCGTTCGTTTATTTGTCATCCACACTCGATGGTGTATGCTGACTGCGCCGTTAGTCGTTTTGACGAAACCCAAGGAACGGGATGGTGTAACGATGTACTACGTGAACAGAAGGGTAAATATTTGAGAGCACCCCGTCCAGTTTCATCCTAACTGTTTCGTAGCCTACTCCCCTAGATCTTCTCACCTTGGTCAATTTCACAGATCCGCCGACCCAGCGCAGTACCGGTTTACTTCGTAACCTGAGAGGGGGAGAACGACACACAGAAGGCCCCAATGGCACTCCCGGGGTATCCTCTCCGGAGAGCACCACGGATTCTCGTTCCGTGCACCCGTTGACGCTGCACCATAATGGTAGAATGGGTGGGCCGTATATCCTCTATGCTGAGACTGCCCAGGCGAGAGCAGAATGGAAGCAGAAGCTCGAAGAGGCTCTGGTGATCCGCAAAGTCGTGCAGGAGTCAAACAAGGTGTTCGAGGTCGAGACACTGAGTTCTGACACGTTTTTGGTACCTGCGGTTGTTGGTGGGCCCACTTCACCACCTGCGTGGAACCAGGAGAACTCGTTTACGGGCAAAGTCACCTGTTCTGTTCCGTTCAGTAAGTGGTTCTTTATTCGGATGGTATTTGGTCTGACGTGTCTCTTCAAGATACTGCAGATGGACGCGGACTGGTTGCCATTGGATGTGCGGAAGGTGTATGGATTGGGTTCAGGCATGATCCGAAATGTAGGTACTCCTTGGGTGGGTTCGTGTCTTCACTGACTGTTCAAAAATAGCAATGCGCCGCGTTCTACATCTCAAGTTGGTTACGCAATGCGCCATGCTAGAGGAATTCGGGCTGTTCTTAGTCTTGGCTGACAAGGTACTGGTTCCTGTTAACTAATCTTGATTCAGTGCTGACAGTTCAAGTAGTCTCTTTTTGCCTACCATATCGAAGCGCTAGTACCTTCGTCTCCTCAAAATGCGCATGCTTCGCAAGTCCCACAAAAGCTAAATGGAAATAAGGACGTTCATTTCTTCAGCGTCGGGACTCTTCATGGTCGAACATTAGTCATCTACATGAAGAAGAAAGCGGTGCGCGCATTCCAATTTTCTTCCTTCTCCTTTAATGCTCATTGTCATACTTCGGTTAGCTGAATAGCATTTTCCGAGTATTGGAACCGGTGGGAGAAAAGATCAATGAACGGGTGAAGACCCCAGGGGGCCTAGGATCCCGTCTTGGGTTCCGCTCCGCAAAATCGGAATGGTTCAGGATATACAGAGTTCGTTTCGTGCCATTTCTACTACAGAGACTTCTCACGCTGTTTCTCAGGATTTCTTCCTACCATCGGAATCATTCGATCTGATTTTCTTAAAAGCCAAGATCGCAATCCTTTGCACAAAAGGCTTTGAGATCATGGATCTTCATGAGTATGCCCGTTCTCGTTAGTATCGTTGTTCCACGCTCACAGTTGATACAGCTTCAAGAGTGCAACAATTCCCCATTCCGAAGACCCAAAGTTGGCGGCAATCGCCAAGCGCGGCGAATCATGTCGTCCTATTGGAATGTTCAGATCAGCTGATGACGAGTTCCTTCTGTGCTATGATGGTAGGTCGCCAGCCTCGTTTCATGGGTATAACAGAACTAAGTGTTCCACGATGCAGAATTCGGACTCTACGTCGACAAACATGGAGATCCCAGCCGATCTTCAGGTACTATTGAATGGGAGGGTACCGCCGAGCGTGCTGCTCTGCATCTACCGTACATCCTTCTGTTCGATAGCCGCTTTATTGAAGTTCGACGCCTCGAGACTGGCAGGCTCGTGCAAATCATACCGGGCAACGATGTTCGTTGCATATGGGATGGTCGTGGAGTCAATCTACAGAATCCCGTAACGACGCCTCCGGCTAATGGTTCTGCTGACGATGACATGGTGCAAGATGCCCAAGTTCATGCCGTGATGAACTCAACCGAACAGCAAGGGGCGAGGGTGGTATCGCGAGCTGTTGCACAGCATGTATTCGAACTCGTGCCGACTGTACCATTGTATCCTCCTGGACCTGTCCAGATGCCGCAAACACCATATCAGGCATCATACTCCCCTCCCCGTTCCCCCGAAATGAGAACCTCCATGTCCTGGAGGCCATGAAATATGTAATGCCTTTGCTGCTATCTTTGTTGTATATCTAGTTCGACCTTCACCTGCGTCGGAATCGAGGGTATTGTTCCGCTGGACGCGCTTGACCATTGGTTTAGGTTTTGGGTGATAATCGAGAGAAGAATAATAAAGTACTGTACTTATTATGGTGTAATGACCGTGCATGAAATGGACATGGGGACATTGGATAGACTTTACGATAGATTTGTAGAATTCGCCTCATCCAATTTACCATCGTGTCTTATTAGGAGTACACCCAGGCCCCAAGATTACCAACTTGTCGGGCGGCTGGGGCGGTGAAAGGGACGCAATTTGTAAGTTGTTACGTATATCCCGAAGGAATAGGACATTAGTTTTCTGGTATGTGATCGTGTGGGGGGCGCTGACTCGGGCAACGCGGCCCACAAGAATATAAAGAGCGACTTTGCCGCTGATTCAAAAGCAGCAACACTATGTCTAGCAGCCAAACGCTTAAGCTCACAGAGAACCGTGTCCGTGTCGCCGGGTTTCTGAAGAGGACGCCTGGTATCTCAAAGGAGGAATTTACGCGTCGCTGGCTCCAGCACGCTGAACTATTCAAATCTACGGAGATGTCAAAGAATATTCTCAGGTACGATCAGGTGGGTTGTCTAGATTTTGTGTTTAACAGTTGGGAATTAATGCTGACAGCATGGATGCAGATGCATGTGAACGATGAAACCAATGCCTTGCTTAAGCAAATGGGAGCTCCGACGTGCGACTGGGATGGTATAGCACTCATGGAAGGCGAATCATTCGAGAGAATCTTGAGTGTACGTCCATCTTTCCAGACACCAATGGCCGTTCTTAGTTGGAATTTAGATCACGACGAACGAAGAGTACGAGCGAGTTATCGTACCTGATGAGCTGGGGTTCCTTGACCGCGAGAAGACCCAGGTGGTGCCATTGAATTTTGGCGTGTTCATTGATAGACTTCAAAAGTAGAACTCGGCATAAGCGGTACTCGATCCAATTAGTTCACTTCCGACAGTTTAGTTCACTGATAAGTAATCCCAAAGCAGACATGATTGTCTCGCACTCTGAGTTGGTTATTTCTCAGGTTAAGGCCATGTGACTGGCCTTGAATAATAGGGGCAGCCAAAGAAACCTCCTTGTCTGCCCCATGGCTGAGTTGGTTACAGCGTCCGACTGTTAAGGTTCAATCGGAAGGTCGAGAGTTCGAGCCTCTCTGGGGCAGCATCGTAAAAACCTTCTGTTTTTGTTTCGGTTTAGTTCAAACTTAACTTTTAAGTATTGTCGAATCTTGATACCTTAGGATTCAGTTACTACTAGACTTTGTGTTTGTCTTTTACACATTTTCCTTATTGTGTCGATTTGGAAATATTGTATATTTATGTTGGGACTCCACGAATAGAATATATATGCAGTTGTACTGGATTACTTACGCTCCGACAGTAACACGGTAGGTAAGTTACCACAATGACAACCCCCTCCAGCGAGGGGAGGAATTTACCAGGAACTTAGCAGTAAGTTACTGGTAATATATAAACCCGAGTTACCCTAGTTCAAGCCCAGCAATCAGCATTCAACCATAACTTGTGGACCGCGATGTTGGAAACGATGGGTTTAAATACCCTTATGATGGATTTTTGTCAGGATTACTTAACTTATGAATACTACCTCTCTCCTCCCATAAAGACTTTTTTGATAAACGCTGTGGTTCAGATTCAGAATTTAGCAAATGTACATTATCATGTCACGTATCCCATTTTTCCCTCGAACCTCTGAGATGAATTTTGAATACTGAATACCGATGTGGTTTCACAGCCACTGGTCATGTTTGTAATACTTTGTTTGAATGTCGTACCGCTTCTTGGCTTCGTACCACCACTATCAGCCACCAGAATATACATTCATTCCATTTCCCCTGCCGACACCTATTCCCAACAACACCAACCTATATGCAAGCGCATCAAAGCCTACGGTGTCATGAGTCGGGTTAGGCAGTGATCTCCATGGCTTTCGCGCAATCCCGCGGCTCCCAATTCCACAAGGCGCTTCTCACCTTAATATCTCGGCAACTCCATAGTTCAGCGACACAGCTCTCACTCTTCGCCAGTAACAGGCAACGAACCATGGACGGCTTCGCCAAGCACGCCCGGCCTTTCAACAACACGTGCAAATTCGACCTCCTTGGATGGACGTATAACGACGGTGACAACGAGCAGAAAACAAGAGCGGTACGACTTCAACGATCTCACAAAGGCAACAAGTTTCTCGACGGTGTCCAGCGGAACCAGAGCATTTCATGCCGCGTTTGTATCAGAATCGCGGTGTCCTTCGCAAATAAAGTGACTGGCAAGTTACGTCTTTTGTAAACGGATCAGTTTATCTGCTACAAAGTTCAAGTCCCCGCGGGAAGGAGGAAAACGTGAGTAGATCGTTTTCAGAACCCAAATAGTGACGTACTGATGGCACGAGAAGGTCGAATATCTCTCAGGCCTTATATAAACCTTGACAACGCGCTGGTGTGACTTATCTTGAGGATTGCAGGCGCACAGCGAGTCCAACATGTCTACTTACCCTCCCCACACGAAACATATCCGGCGTTGTTTCTTCTTTTCACTCGCCTTTGTTATCGTTATTCCCATAATCTGCATCGTCTTGGGATTGGTGGTGCACCCCCAAGAATTCACATATAATCTCGAGGATACTTTGGGTGGTTCTACTCGACATGTGAGTTTTCTTGTCGTACCGGCTTCCTGATATACTCAAAGCGAAAGATTTCCCTTCATGCCGATTTGGTATCAGCAGATTTGAAAGAAGGGACGGTAGTCCTCGACTGGATCGTTTTGTCTGATATCTGTGATTCAGAATGTACCCTTGTTAACATTTATTTTGATACGTGAGTGTTGTGCTTCGCACGTCCCTGACCAGGCATGCTGACGTCTTGCAGAAACCTTTTTCGCCACCCTGATATAGGCGGCATCCTGCCCTTTGGCAGCAACAGGCCCACGAATCCCATAATCGTCTGGAATGCCACGGCGTACTATGGAAACGATGTCCATGCAAGTGTCGCGATGTTCCGGACGGAACTTGCTACATTTTCTCCCGATGATGATTCCAAGTATCCGGTCAGACGTACACGTTCGAGCGATGTATATTATCCTTTTGATCGGTGAGGGCATTCTCGTGTTGGTTGAACTGCGACTGATTTCGCTAAACACTGATAGCCACATCGCTTTAATATATGCCTTCGCCGAAGACGCAAATACCAATGCTTCCGTGTCATTATCTCTCGATTCCACTTCTGGACTGGCTGCGTAGGTGCTTATAAACTATTCTGTGACCTGACACTTAAACGAATTCAAGAGGCCTCAAAGTATCGCCGCCGGACTTCATCACTGAACCCTACAATATTGAGGCTGGCATTCCAGAACATATGTTTGCCATTATTACCCTGCAACGGGGGACCTTGGTAAAAATCTATTGCATTATAATCACCATGACATTCTGTCGGTGCAATTTTCTTGTTCCTATGAAATAGACTGCTAATGATATCCTCACCGAATAGGGCTTATTACCCTCATGATGTGTCTTATTATGATTATGACTGTAGGGTTCGGCTTCCAGCAGAGAAACGAGATAGTTGTCGTTCCTGTGGGGGCCGTGTTCGCCTTTACCCAGCTACGTACAACTATGCCTGGAGCCCCAGATGGATTTAGTACGCCCCTACTGATTAACTGAATTTCTCAACGCTAATCTAATTCAGGTGATGTCCTGGGTACGTCAAGTTAAATATAACTATTTGGTCGTAGAATGACTCTAGACGCAGATTTCGTGGGCGTGCTTCCTTGCCTCGTCCTTCTGTCCATTTCGGCAAGTCCCCCCAAGGTTTTTGAAAACACTCGAGAAATGACGTAGAATGTCCCACTAGGCGATAACTATGGTTGGGATCTATATTTTCACGGATCCTGCGAAGGATTCTCGTGAAAAGTTGAGTTGGTCTGCTTTGGGTACGGTGGGTTCTCGCCGATGGCTTTGAGACACATTTCAATGTTTCTTCTACAGTGAACGCCCTTGCGGGTCGCCCTGAAAAAGCTGCGTCATCGGAGGCGACGAATAACACGGTCCCTCCGGCGGAGTCATACTCCATGCTCTCGTTGTCGAAAGTTTAAAAGTGCTGTCGACATTCAAACAGCAAATTGATCCGTAGCATTTACTTTATGAGCGAATGTTCGTTTATCAATACAAGAGTGTGGGTCCTGAGGCGTAACCGTAACTCTCGGACGGCCGGGCCAAAAGTGTAGTGGCGCACTGTGCTTTGATTTAAGTCGCTCGCCGTGCTTCGCGGCGCCAATAGAATCGCTCCATTCCTCGTCCTCAACCTCATCTCGCAGTCCTCGTAATTTCGCGACCCTCCCACCTGCACCCTTGATATTGGATATTTGTTCGGGTTCGTTTGTCTGTCGGCCAGTCGAGAACTTCCCGAACACCTGGGTCTCCCGCTTCTTCAGTTGGTGACCCTTCCCGACTTTCCTCACTTTTAGACGTCGTTTCCTTCACAAGCGGGATACTCGTCCCCCAAACCCCCAACATCTTGGTTCCCTCTCTCTCTCACTCCTCGATTCAGTCACGTATACACGCGGTCTTAGCTTGGGTTACACTTCATACTTTTTAAATTAGAACTCTGATTACTCATTTCACCTCATTTTTGTTTGTAGCACACCCGAACGAAGATACGAATATCGATATCCAAGCTTACATTCAAATCAGCGAATTGAATTACAGCGCTGGCTCCCTTCCCATGAATGTTCGCGTGGCTTCTGGTCTCGATAGGACTGGCGCGTAAAGATGACCGTGGCTCGTGTAGTGTACGCCATCTGATATTTACCGTCTCGAGCCTCGCGATATGAGAGATCCAATAAAGGAGGTTTTCTTCATGCCGGTTCCCGGACCGATAGAAAATCGAATGATTAAAGGGAACAGAGGAACTGGGGAAGAGCCGCTGCAGACCTAGCAAAGAAGACTTGAGAAATTATCTAGTGATTACTTGCATAAACCATTGAACCCCGCCGCTTCTTAGTTGACGATTCAGTATGCAAAGCTGATACCTTGGTGATTTTGCACTTGAATATCCGGTCTGGCGCGTGCGGGACAATGTGGTATTAGATCCACGACAAGTGCCCCTGGACTCAAAAAGCTATTTGCCTATTTTTGTTCTTGTTCTTGTTGGGAACCTGCAAAAGGACTAACCGGCCTGGAAGAAAAGACTGTATTACAATTTGGCAAAGCACAAGGATACAGAGGAGGAAAACTTGAATGGGCGCATCCTACCGTCGTTACCAGACGACAATACCAATGACAAGTGCATATGATTACCGTTTCCAAGGACAAGTTCTGGACAAGGAACAATATGTCCTCTGCGAGCAAGCAAGGTGAAGGACAGGCAAGGGGGCAAGCCTCGGCATACGAGGCGCCTTCACAGCAACATGCATATCTAATCAAGACATATATATTCGATAGATCTCCCTAGGTACATAAACATAGGACGTCGGGGAAGACGGTAAGTATTAGATAGATATAAAGCTACAGTGTGTTAACTACAACAGAGGCGGTGGTAAAGGAGAGGTAGGGCTGCGGAATAAGAATACAGGTATGTTGAAAGAGCGAGTATGCATACGGTCGGTGGATGCATATGGGTAGTACAACGACCAGCGCTAGAGAGGGAACGGTAAGGGACGTGGGGATGGTAAAGGGCGAGAACACATACCGGGATATCTATGACCGATGGAAGAAAGCCCTGACGCTCAGCTTTGACTTTTTCGGGGCGTGGGTAGATGGAATGGGACGAGGCGCCGATACGGGAATGGGAGGGAGCGGGATGGTCGGCGGCATGAAGGACTGCTCGAGGAACTCCTTCCTGGCAAGATTAAGCGGTGTCGGACGCTTCTTCTTGCCGTCGGAAGTGAGGATCGGCTGGAGCGTCATCGGTGCGAGTTTCACCTTCTAGAACGGGGTGAGCGGGATGCGTACGAGGAGGAAGGGAAGCAGACGAACCTGGGCATCAAGCGACTCTGCGCGGAACTTGACCCACTGGGAGGGCGCATCCTCGCCCTCGGAGTCGGAGGAGTCAGAGGCATCGGGGTCGTCCTTCTGGAGGAGCCATTGGTACTCGGTCTGCTCGTCGCGGTCCCACCATACGCGGCCGGCGGCGTCGCGGTAGACGTCGGCGCGGGTGCCGACGGGAAGGTTGCCCTGCTGCTTGGCCTGGGCGTCCATGACGCGGGTGATGTGGGTGCTCATCTTGCCTCCGCCGGTGAACTGCATGAGCATGAGCTCGTTCATGAGCGTGGGGGGCAGCTGCTTCTTCGACTTTGCGGGGACAGACATGGATGCAGAGCGTGCGCGAGAGAGGAGGCTGAAGGGGGCTTTCTTCGCGTGGTGGGAGGTGGCATCGTCGCGATCGTCTTTATGGGAGCGGTCGTAATTGTGATTAGCGGGCTTATTGTCTTTCTTATTGTTGCGGGTGTGATTAGGCTTATTGTTAAGATGTGACGGCGTGGACGGCAGGTGCACGAACACAGATGTGTACCCGAGATTCGTCAGGTCGAATTGGGCGTAGTGGGCAGACGTCGGGGTGTACGCCGATTTGCACGTGCCCGGTGTGTCGGGGAACGTCCCGGTGTTGGCGCTCCGCGGCGCTGGCGAGCCAGGATGGACCGCCGAGGCCCAGGTGGTGATGCTGGCGGCGAACGAGGAGACGGTCGAGGATCGTGGGCGGGACATGATGGTCGTGGGGTATGCAGAATAAGTATATGGGTATGCTGGGTATGTCTAGGTCTGCTCGTCGTCGTCAGTATCGTCGCCATCCCCAAACAGGTCGCTGCTCACCGTTAAGAGTAGTGGAAGGAGACTGGCTCGCTGTGGTCGTCCTCGTCGTGCCCGGCCATGGTCTTATACTTTAGGCCAACAAAAACCCCGCGCACAATACCCACGCTCCAGACAAACAGCCAAACAACGCCCCTTCAACACATGCCATTCTCGGGTCGTCGCGACAACGCGCTTCTCGAAAAAAACAAAGACAATAGCTTCGCTGAACAATAGCTCCGCCGCTTTCCCCCCGCCTGCTCATTGTTTTTCCGCACCTCCCTTCTTCCCGTCCTGACAGCTTTTTGCCGACCATCGCCTTGGGGCATACGGTTTCCTGGCGTGTTAATTGTCGCCGTGTTGATTGTTGGGCGACGGCGTTCGAGGATTGGTGCGTGCACGCCTCTATTATCCTGAGCTGGCGCATGGAGCGAGTCGTTGCCCTTCGGCGGCCCGTTGATCTCTTGCGAGATGACTCCGCACTTCCCCGCAATTGTTTTGGTTTGGCTCCGTGGGAGCAATTTTTGCGCTTTGCTAGTAAATCAACGGAGGTCAGCGGGCATCATTGTACTTCGGTCATCAAGCTACTGATACTTGGCAGAGCCTTGACCCAGCTGCTTCTTTGCTTCACCCCTCGTTCCTTGTATTTTGCTTCCGCGGAAGTATACGCGCCTACGATCACATACGGAGGGATTTTTGATGGTCCAAGTTTCAGAGTTCCTTCATCGGCTGGCTCTCCAGGCGGTTTCTGGCCTGGTTTCTTTTCAGCCGAAAATAAATATGTGACAGGGAGGCTGCAATTTGTTGTGCCCCATGGCTGAGTTGGTTACAGCGTCCGACTGTTACAATATTTCAACATTGCCACACCAATCGGAAGGTCGAGAGTTCGAGCCTCTCTGGGGCAGTGCCAGTTGCATAACACACCATTTTTATTGTTTACTATTCAGCTTTCGAGTGATCGGGTGACACTATGACAGTCTCACAGCGGAGTGATGATTGTTTGGGGGCAGTCAACATAGAATCAAAGTCGAAAATGTTGGATTTTGCGAAGTTGAAATCTGGGCAATTCGGATTTTGATTCTATTTTGACCACCCAAAAATAGTCGCCACTGCTGCACTGTGTCTGCTCAGTATTGTCCCTCGCAGAAGGGTTCCCAGCTCGTAGTGCTATGAAGCTGTATCTCACACCCCCCAGATGTTTCGTATGCAACCCTACTCACTAGTTACGACTTTGATTCAATGAAGTTGAATCAACAACACAATTCGCCTCATACGTCTGCGTAGCTATTGATCGTTTTATGGACGAACAAAAGCAATTGAGCACCAAAAGGTCAGATCTAGCGGGTTAAATACACGCAGAGCATCGTCGAAGACTTTATAAAGATACATGTCAGAACTCAGTGCGGGATCGTAAGGAACCCAGAACCGTGGGAAATTTCATGCCAGCTGGCTCCAGTTCAGGTTTTTGACCCTAACCCTGTGCACTGACCAAGTCCTTCGCGTTTCAGTCCAGCACGACGACGACGGACTACCGCAAGAAGCGACTCCTCGCCGAAGAGACCAGATCCGTGACTAGAAGAGGAATCGGCTCTCGGAGGTATGCATATATGCAGCTCAGAATAGACCAGTACATCTTAACAGGCTTGGAAGTAGTGTTTCCAACAGTCGCTCACAGCTCGAGTCAAAAATACGACCTGAACGAGGCATCGATCCACTAGTTTCAAGATATCGGCGCTGCGACAGGAGCGGCCCGACACCGTGACTGGAGAGATTTTTTTTTTTTCGTGGGTCGTATCCAGGACATTCTCGTGGTTTGAACACTCGGATGAGTAAAGTTCAGCTACGCAGGTTCGTGGTTTCTTCGTCATCACTTTGTAACTCGTATCGCGATTTCAGCATTTGGCAAGACTATACCAATTTCATCAAGGAATCGAGCACACCGATAGAAGTATGTAGTTCTTCGAATCCTTCCCTAAACATTGCAGGTGTTTAGTGCGTTCGGCGTTCATATTTAGCGATATGTCCTCGCGTACCTGCTGTCCTAGGATCGACGAACACGGGATACCGACAAACGTCCCATACACTCGCACGTTCTGCTACGAAGCGCGTAACCGTTATCCCAGAGGCAAGACCTCCACCGATTTGCCTAAATAGCACCGGCGTCGACCCACCGCTAGTGATGACGGTCCACTCCATCGAGTTACGATCTGGCAAATGCTGCGAGAGGGTGGAACGTTTTCACCGTGTCACTGTGAAGATTTGGATGGAAGTCATGAGGTAATCGTTAGAGCCATTCGTCTTTCTAACGGACATACTACAGATCTTCTTTGGATCCGGTGTCGAACTCGCTCACTCTAAAAATGTCGACTCAAGCTCGTTCTTTCCAGGCTGCTCCAAAGATTGGATGTGTATTTAAGCTGAAAATACTCACCTGAAACTGCAGTCGGAAAGAACCTTGGTATGTCTTTGGCTCCGTGATTTGGCGGCTTGCAAAGACGGTGTGTATTTCTTTCTGGCTATGTCTTTATGTTTGCGTCCATCCTTGCACCGTGAACACCTATGGAATCGCCCAGCCTTGTCCGTTGGCGAGGTTGCGTATTTCCATAGGTAAATTCGGTGCGAATTTATATGTAAACATAAGTACAAAGGGAGAATAGAAGACATGCGGTGTTATGAGAGGAGTTTTGATGCCAAATTCCCTTAGGTGAAAAGTCCTACCAGTCTTTGGGATGGTGTGCTTTCTACCCGCCGGAAGACATCAAGGTATTTCATTCCTTGAAAAAGGGATAGAATTGGTGGGCCACCGCGCCATTGTCGTATGATGCCGATGGATCGGTTATTCGGACCATGCAACTGCCGCTATCACCCTAGGCGCGACATCCCATGCATCCCGGTGATGCCAACAGGCGCCGTCCGTAAATGGCGCCGGCCCCCTCCCCCAAGGCCGTACATCGTGCAAATCCGCCACCTTTCAATATGAATACACTGGAACCGAAACGCTCTCTCTTCATGACAGTGACATTCTTAGGCAGGATGTTGATGATGTGCAGGTTATAAGATTCGAGTAAAAATCTCCCTTTCTTTACCCTGGATGTCATTTTCTGATCCTTCTTGTTCATATAGTAAGACCACGGTGCTCCGAGGCGCCTATTCGAAGCTTGACAAGGTTTGGTTACAGCACGGCACGTCGGCTCCAGCCTGAGTCGAGGATAAAGCTGTTGTCTCTCCCACGCATGCCGTCAACTCGTCTTTACCTGCGACCATCATGTCCAACGGTGGTGTTCGTGGCGCAAAGCTCAGTAAACTCTTCAGTAGCACCCTGCAAGGCAAGGAGTTAACCAATGCATCCCAAGGCTCTCTGTTTCTGGAGGCTCTGTGCCTTCAGCCAGACCCGGCCGCCTGCATTAACAGGATCATTGCGAGCAAGGCTGGCCTCCGATCTGTACAGGCTGCTTTTAGGTTCAATACTACCCAACCCTTCTTAAACAGTCTTGCCACAGACACTCTGCGGTATTTGCAAGCGCCCGAGATCGAGAGGATCAGCAGCGGTGAGTACCTCACAATGACATTGCGGGCTATCGTCGAGCCTCCGATCTTCTGGACAAAATTCGTGGAGGCATTCCAAGCGAAGCAGCTGTCCGAAGAGGGGCAGAAGTGCTTTGCATGGGTTTTATTACAACTTATCCTCATCCCAAGCGACACCGTCTCGCCTTACATGTCCCTCGCTGAAAATATATTACCTACCATCCTCAAATCCTCCCATCCAGACATACGCACCATCGCACAAAAAGTCAGACACATCATTTCTGTTGCATCCACCTCTTCCGTCGCTATTACTAGGGATGATATCGGTCCTGGCGGCAGACATGATAACGATTTCTCAGACTTTCGCAAGATCGCAATCCTTCCTACTACGGACGAGCTCGCTTCTACCGAGGCACCCTTCCTTCGTCCGAGCTCTGATCTCGACGATTCTCGTACAGAGGAACACCGCGAAGCTTTGCATCTCGACAACCAGTTCAGGCTGATGAGGGAAGACATGATTCACGAGATGCGGGAGGAGCTTCAAATCTCGTTGGGAAAACAGAAAGGAAAGAAACGTCGTGGTATCGTTGTGGACGGCATGGAAATGCTAGATATCAGTTTGGGGGACGAAGATCGGCGAAACAAGTGGGCGGTCGTCTTCCAGTGTTCGACCGATCTTCCACAGCTTCAAAAGTTCAAGGGCCTGGCAAAGCGAAAGGCATCGCTTCGGAAGGAAAATATCAAGCTGTTGAAGAATCAATCGTTAGCTTGTCTTCTCGTTGATGGGGCGGTGTCGGCATTTCCGTCGGTGCGTCGAGATGAAGATCTGTTGGCGAAGGATCCTCCAGAGATTGTTTTGGAGTTCGAGGGAGAGATGTCGATCCAGAATTTCTTGCTGAAGATGAAGTCGGCGAAGACGGTCAGCCTCATTCAGATAGATGTCGCCGTCTTCTCCTATGAGCCCATCTTGACTGCTCTGAAGCGGATGAAGATACTCCCTCTCGCGCAGGAGCTACTGTTCTGGAAAGATGGGAGCGAGTTGTCTCGACCGTCGCAACCATTTGCCCTACAATCCGCCATACAGTCATTCGAGCGTAACCCCGGCCAAGATCTTCAAGCTGTATTGTCTTTAGACAAAAAGATCGTACTGGATAGAGCCCAAGCAATGTCGTTGTTGTCGGGGTTGAAACAGAATGTATCGCTCATCCAGGGTCCTCCAGGTATGTTGGTGTTTTTCGCGAAGCAATATAGATCCATTAACATGAACCCACTGGCAGGTACGGGCAAGTCGTTTATAGGTGCCCTCTTGGCCAAATTCATCCACGACTTCTCGGACCAGAAGATCCTTGTGGTCTGCTATACCAACCATGCCCTAGATCAATTCTTAGAGGATCTTCTTGATATCGGCATTCCTATCGAAGATATGGTTCGTTTAGGTGCCAAGTCCACTTCTCGAACGGAACCCATGGCTCTTAACAAGCAGGCACGCACCCATCGTTTTCGCCAGGGTGACTATAGCATCTTAGACAGACTCAAGGCTGATATTGAGACCCGAGCGGTCAGCTTAACGGGATCCTTCAAGAAGTATCTCCAGTCTACCATTCGAAACGATGATCTATTGGCCCACTTGGAGTTCGATGAACCGGAATTCTATGGTGCTTTCAACGTCCCTGTTTCTGAGGATGGTATGAGCATTGTAGGTGAAGGTGGACGGACTGTGGACGAGTTTTACCTGCTGCAAAGATGGAGGCATGGCCAGGATGCGGGGGTCTTTAAGGGTAGCGACAATGTCGAAGCTGCGGGAGACATCTGGAACATGTCGTCACAGGCTCGTCAAAATAATCTAGCCGAATGGACAGGGGCCATCATGAAGGACGAAATCGAGGAATTGTATAGACTCGTTCACGGTTACAATCGCCAACTTGATGAACTTCAACGCAAGTTTCATGAACGGGACGCCTTCATACTTCAGAACAAGCGCATCATTGGCTGTACTACGACTGCTGCGGCAAAATATGGTGTTGATATACAAGCGGCTTCTCCCGACGTTATTTTGGTGGAGGAAGCTGGTGAGATACTGGAAAGCCACATCATCACGGCCCTCGGGACTACGGCGAAACAGCTCATTCTAATTGGTGATCACAAGTGAGTATAGTTTAATGACTGGAAGCTATTTTGACGTAGGCTTAGGCAGCTTCGTCCAAAGGTGAACAACTATACGCTCACTGTCGAAAAGGATGAGGGATATGATCTCAATCGGTCTTTGTTCGAGAGACTCGTTCTAAAAGGGTACCCCCACCAAACCCTCATCACTCAACACCGCATGCGCCCTGAGATCTCTAACCTCATTCGTCGTTTGACATACCCCGATCTTCTCGAT